TGCCCTCCCCACCCCCTCTACACATTCGGTCGACCAGTCAACCGTACGGACCAGGCATGCCGACAAGCATGGAGGGTTCTGGACAAGCGGAGTCCATCTGAATGGCTCGCCCATTTGCCGGGCGCGTGTACCGAGGTTGCCCGGTCGGTTATCTCTTCTACCGTCGGGACAGGCCAACAATTGTGTAGTACCGAGATGACGTGGTTGCAGGAGGGAGGACAAGAGAGAGGATAGGGCCTTTGCCGCATCTGCTCCGTATCCCTGTCCGGCTGAAGGCCTGCTCAAGTGCGAGACCGGCCAGATGGTCTGATCCGCTAATGTCTTCATTCGGACGAGACGTAATGAGCGTATTTGCGCAAGCCTCCCTCGCCTCGGACACCTCTTCGCTCGTCCGCATGTTCACGCATGTCCGCGACGGCAGAACTCGACTCTGGCCCCCCTCAACGTCCGCCCCAACCTCCCCAACCTTCTCGGCCGGCGCTTCTGCCTCCGCCCCATGGGCCCGATTAGGGCCCAGCACGAGTCCGACCCCCTCGGAAGACTCATCCAATTACTGGCACGTGCCTGCTCCGCCCGCCCGCTCAGCCGGCCGGCGCGGAGGACACTGTGCCGAGGGAGCTGAGATGAAGTGAGGCGAGACGAAGTGAAGCAAAGAGAGTGCCTCCGCTGAGGACGCGTTGCTTTGCTGTATGGGCTGCCTGTGCACGTCTGGCCGCGTTTTCGCGTGCGAGTCCACTTCATTCTCTGTCCCGAAATCGCCATCTTTTCATAGGACCTCATCATCCACTCACAACCGCAGCGGAACTCTAACCAGGCGCGTGTGGGTTGACGAGCTAGCACACGACTCTATCCCCACAACGTCACATCAGATGCCCAACTTGCTATGCAAGCGAAATCCCTCTCAATTCACACAATGTTGTGAACATTTTTTCAAACCGTCTCCCCACTTAATGCGTGTCACTACTTGTTTGGGCCCCGATAACACAGTAAATGTTCTGTACATACAATTCGTCAACTACCTGGCTCATCGTCCTTTCTGCAATGTACGTATTTTCGATTTGTACTACAGCCCACACCTCTTATTTGAGCCCCACTAAACACCTACATTCATTGAGGATTAACAAAATTCGTACTCAACCATATGGCCCATTATGGAAATGGGAAAGGATCTCACTTATTTTTATATTCAGCACGTTCTAAGTTTTTACTATGATATTTATTCACCAAATTTCGTAAAGGTGATGGGGCACTGACAGTTGAATTTTTTTCACGATACTATCAGTATGACTTTCACATAACCCCGCTTCCAAAAAGCTATTCTCATGCAAGCTAACAACCTCACCCTCAGTGGGACTCGAATCATGATAGTGCAGCCCATTATATCGACTCTCCAACCAGTGGGCTACGAGTGGGCTTCGGTCATAGGGTAAATGTGAATTTCATGGTAATTTTTCCCATATCATATTTTGTGGTGGGATTGTCGATTGAACAAAGTTGTGTCTGCTATAGCATTTAACTATATTATCTATAAATATGAGATGCATTCACCCTATTTCGTTTAAGGTGATGAAGGACTGGCAGTAGAATTTTCCCACAATGATATGAGTAGAGTTAAAGTTTCCATTAAATTTCACATAGCCTTGTTTTCCCAAAAGTTGTTCTCATTCAGGTACCAGTAGACTGCAGTTTCGACCTCGCATCGGTCTTATCAACACTCCCAGCAGGAGTCTAACCATGACCGTGTAGAATGGGAGCTTGACACATTAACCAATCGGCCACATTGCAACGAGTGTCCTTTGGTCACAGGGAAGATGTGAATTTCGAGGAAGGCCAGGCCTTTTCCCATATCACATTCTTTGGTGCGATTTTAGATAAAGTAAACATACTTTTTTTACAACAATTGACTACATAACTTTTTTTTCGTATGTAAGTAGAGTTTCGAGACTACCAATAAATCACCTTAAACGAAATAGGGTGAATACATCTCATATTACTGATTTACTAGTAATATATATTATCTATTATTAATTAATACGTAGCTATGCGAGACTATAAGTATATGATATTTGCCATAGAAATACAACTTTTCATCAGCAACAGTCACATCACAGAATTTTATATGGAAAAATGCCTGGTCTTCCTTGGAATTCACATCTGCCCTGCGACCCAAGTGCACTCGTACCAATGTGGCAGATTGGTTAACGTGTCGAAATTGCACACTGCACTGTCATAATTCGAGTCCGGCTCGAATGTAGACAAGAGCTAGGCGATGTCAACACTGCAGTCCATGCTAGATGAGAATAACTTTTGGGAAAGTAAAGCTATGTGACATACCATGAAAGCGTCATATGTAGTCTGCTCACTGTGGGAAAAGTCAACTACCAGATCCGATATCAATCTAAACGAAATAGGTTGAATACATCTCATGTTTAAGTATTTATTGCTTGAGTGAGATCAATTCATTATACGAATTAGAGTCTGAATTCTTCGTTAAATTTCGCATTGTTGGGAATCATAAACACACTGTACCACTTGTTTTCGCAACTTGGTCGTATGGTAGGAAGACTTAGAGGAACACACTTACTCCGAAGTCCATTGAATGCATGATCATTTCCAGAGTAAGACCGTGGACGTGGTACATTGCCAGACGTTTCGCCGGCATCGTCAATGAGTCTCGCCATTCTTAGCACCATACGACAACTCGTCAAAGAGACAAGTAAAGCCCATCCTTTGACAAAACGTATGCCAAACAGTTGTGGTATCTATCCTCCTGCCCTGGGCTATTCACATTTCTTATATTCTCGGATCAAGTCTTCACTATCACACTTTTTCTGTGCTTATTTTAATGTAGTGTGGTGTACCCTTTTGAGCGGCTTTCATGAGAACTCTCCACAATCCACGCTGGCGTTCTCACCCCCCTTCACCCTTGGGCTGCGAATGTGGATCATAGTCTGCCATATTGTTACGCAGTCCTCCTTCCCTAGGTCTTATCACAGTCTCTCATTTTCCCCGTAAGATCCGTATACTCTCTACCTGGTTCACGAATTTCACTCGACCCCTGCCACCCCATCTGTGCTAATCGAGGCATTATGTCCCACATCTCATGATCACGCCGTTGCCATATGGACCACATATCTGGTAAGACCTACCGTCAGCCAACTAGCTCCAGTCCCCGCCGTCTCTATCCTGTTTCTATCCCTAATACCAAGTCTATGACTTGCCACACCCTAGTTTCTTGTGTGCTATCACACACATATTGTGGTACTGCGTGCTTTGATTAGGTTCAATATTGAACCACAACGTTTGTGGGTTGGCACACAAGAGACTAGGGCATAGGAA